GCTGCACCTCTAAGGCTTAGCTTTGGGTCTTTTTGAAGAGCTTCGATAGCCAGAAGGACCCTACTTTCATATGAAGGCAAGGTCATAATGTGTTGTGGAGGAATTCAATATTTTGTTGGAGAATGACGCGTTGCGGTGGAAAGTGGCTCACTCGGTGGTGTGGCGCACTCGGTGGTGGATTACGTTAGCTGCTTGTTCTAGATGACGTAAAAGCAAGTGGATGGGGTCACTGGCATGATCCAGTTGGTGCGAGGCCGGTGCAACGGCAACTTCTCGATCCGAAAGTTTGGGCGGACGAACTCGGAGGGACGGCCACGACGAAAGCTCGCAACGCTGGAGGTTTCGATTGTACGGCGTTGGTTGGTAGCTGCAATGCTCAGAAGCTGTTTACTACTTTTAGTGCTCACGTCAGATGCGGGCGTGGCTTGCGACACTGCGTCGTGTCGTCATCAGTTTTGCTTGGCCTCCGAGCCTCAATTAATCGCGGTGAATTGAGCAGATCCTATCGCCGATGGCGGGTGCCATGGCCGATACGGCGAGCATGTCTCTGGAATGCTATGTATCTGTCTCTTATACACATCTAGATGTGTATAAGAGACAGGTGTCGACCCGATTGTGAATCTGGGTGCGTTGGCCATGCCAGCTTGTCTGGTGCAAAACGGCGGCGCGTACATGGATGCCAGCCCAGGACGCACGAGCATTGATGAGGCTGCTGTCGACGGTCAGAGTGGGCAACCTAGGACTGGTTGGCATCCGGTGCCCACTGGGCATTTCTTATTGCATAAGCCCCAGGGGCCGGACCCCGGAAGGCAGACACCGCGTTTGGCTGCCCACCTCTGCCAGCCTGGAGTCCGACTCCTTCGCGCGGCGCTGTCGCCCGGCCCGCCTACTAGGTACTGGGGTCGGCATCCGCTGGCCCCAGCGGGCGTCGCGTCTGTGCGAATCTCACGTTGGATGTCACAATGTAGATACGATTCTGCCTCTGGCATTTTGGAGGCGGCTTTGTAGATGTATCCATAGTGTGTAGGAAAGCCGTCCATCTCTGTCTCGATGCCAGGAATCACAACAAATATTCACGCCGTGTGTTCATGAATGATGTGCCCCGACGTTGGCCTGAATCCAGCTCCACAGCCGCAGCGTCGCGTCTCTGTCCAGGGGAGCCACAGCGCCCATGCTCTCTGCGGCCTGCCGAGCCCGGCTGACCTCAAGCGACGGCAGCTTCTGTGGCGCCTCGGTGTCACGAATCTGGCCACTGTCCCCAAGTCCGCCGCAACGATTCCCGTCAAACAGTTGCTTCCAAAAGCCCAGCAAGCCGTGCGCAGGATGCTCTGCGTCCAGGTCCCTCTCCAGCCGTTGCACCCAAACGTCGGGCGAAACCACGACCAGGCGGCGCGGCGCACGAGGCAGCGACGTCGCGGCCGCGATCCAGTGCAGCATCTGACGCCACGACGTGGAAGCGTCCGGGTTCGCGACGTGGTACACTGGTGTTGCCAGTTCCCCGCCGCTCGTCTCCCCTGCACGAGCTCTGTAGGTGCCGTCGCGGCCGTCTCTTGCCTGTCCTGAAATCGCAATCTCCAAGACTGCACTTGCTGCAACGTCCACCGGCAGCCAATTCGTGCCCTCATGGGGCAGGTCGGGCAGGCATCCTACGGCGTTCGAGGCCGAGAGCATGAGGGGATACGCCTCGCTGCCGTTCCACGCGCCCGTTGCGCGGTCGCCGCATAGCTGGCCGATCCGGATGACCGATGCCATTGCTGCCGATGGCTGCCCTTTGCTTAATGTTTGCGCCAGTATCCGATTGGCTTCTGAGCACATCCTCTCGGCAACCCATTTGGATCTGGCGTACCCCAAAGCCGATGCGTGCGACGGGTCGTCTGAAATTCTTTCTGTGATGCTAGGCGCGTCGGTCGAGCTCGCTGCCGCCACAGAGCTGATAAAGTATAGGCGTGCATCGTTCTCGACCGCCAGCGCGAGCAGCTCCGAGAGAGTCGAGAACTGGTTCTCGAACGAAGACAGAGGCAGCGTGAAGTTGACCGGCCAGGCGCCATGGATGATTACCGTTGTATCTTCGACTACCATCTGCCTGTCTCCCGCCGCAAGCTCGAGATGGTCCCTCGCAGAGTCGAAAGGGAGGCAGACTACTTGGCAAGGTGCGCTGCCCGCATCGTCACCCCGTGGCAACGCGGGAAAGCCACGGCGCACCTGGCTTTCAGACACGCGGTCGCGCGCCTCTTCCCCGGTTGATGCTCTGACCAGGCAGTAGATCCTGGAAACGCCCTGCCGTCGGCGCAAAAGTCCAAGAAGATAGGCCCCGAGAAACCCGGTTGCGCCCGTTAGTAAGACTACATTGGATCTTCGCAGCGACCCCGGGCTACGTGCCAGGTTGGGTGACAGCCCATATCGACGTGCCAGCGACTTCATGTAAGCCAGCTGATCGCGATCGCTTTCCTGCTCCACGCCAGACCGCTCATTGCGAATGCGCCGCAGATACGACACCAAGCTAGTGACCGTGCCCTGGTCGTAGATCACATTTAGAGGAAGCTCGTGATCTGCTGGCACCAGGCTCTTCGCCTCAATAAGCTTCCGAATCTGAATGCAAGCGATTGAATCGACGCCCTGCCGATACAAGTCCTTGTCGGGGTCGACTGAGCGGTGCAGCACGTCGTGGAAACAGTCCGACACAGCGACAGGCAGGTCGCCAGCCTGAACATGCACGATTGATGCGTCCCGCGCGGCACGCGGGGCCTCATAGGCGCCTTCTATGATGCTCGCGTACTTGGCGTCGGCTTGATGTCGCAAGATCGAGCCCTTACTGCTCTTCGGAAGCCGCTTGTTGCCCGCCTTGCTTGGCACCACGCTGAGCATAGGCTCCTCGACTCGTGCATGGGCGGGGTTTCGGGCATTGAGTCGGAGGAGCACGGGCCGGATGGCAGCGAGGATGGACTCCGAGGCCGCGCCCGGACGGGGGAAGAGCAGGGCTCCTGCGCAAGGCTTGCCCGTCCCGAAGACGTAGGCGTCTTGCAGCAGCGGCGTCGCTGATTGCAGTTCAGTTTCTATTGGCGATGGGTCAAATTTCTTGCCGTTGGCGAGGGTGATCTGGGAGTCTGCTCGGCTGTGGTACCGCCATGCGTTTGCAGTCTGCGGATGGGGTTCGAAGAGGTCACACGTGGCATACGAGCCGTCGTCTCGGTTCGTCTTGCTTCGGAACGGCCACTTCGGCTTGACAACGAGTTCCGACAGACCATCCTCGCGGGGCTCGAAGCACAGGAAACCGGCGTTTACGCGGACGCGAAGATACTCCCACTCTTTATCCACCGTATAATCGCGATGCGACGAGAGCAAGAAGCCACACTCGGCGCTGCCAAAACGTGACAGCAGATTGACGCCAGCGCGCACGAGCATGTCCCCAGTGGCGATGGGCATCGCGGCGCCACCGACTCCGACCAGATCCATTGACAAGAGGAGGCAGAGACCATCTTTGTCCTCGGCAAGCATCTGCAGCACGTAAGGGACGGATGAAAACAGTCTGGGTGGTATCCCGCTGTTTTGTCGACGGGCAAAGTGAACAGCCTCAGTGATGTTCCGAGCCGTCATAGGGCTCTGGCCCTCCGGGAAGAACCATATCAAAGCCCCGCTCGTCCAAGCCCTCAGGCAGTCCGCAAGACCGCCATGATACAGCGGCGTCGTTGAAAAAGTCGCTGGTTGGTTGCGGCGGTCGCGAAAGCGAGGCAGGGCTTCCACCATGGAGTGGCTCTGCGGTATCGGCGATGGCAGGCCCGTGGAAGTGCCAGACGTGTGGAAGTAGAAGGCCGGTTCAGCCAGCGGTGCCCCTGCCACGGCGGGCGCAGCGCCGGAGGGGTCATCGTCGCGACGGGATCCATTAATGGCGGCGTACGCAGGGACTGGAAGGATCTCAATCCCGCTGCCAATCTTGTCGGCCGTCAACGCATGGTGGCCATCATGAATCACAAGGCGTGCGCCGAGCTGATGGCACAGGTGTTCAATTGCTCGCGGCTCCAACTGCGGTCTGGCTCCATGTTAGGCAAGGATGGATTCCCATCATGTCAAGTAAGTTCGGCATCTGGACGGGCCAGTTGATAAACGACTTACGCGAGGAGCAGCACAGGATGGGCCAGCCGCAGTAACCCAAGCCATGTCAAGACGAATTCGAGGCTACTCCCACAGAGCAGCCCAACAGCGCCTCCTCCATTCGCCTTCGCACCAATGTGGTTTCCGAGCGTGCGAGCCGCGACTACCGACAGGTCGCCGAGGTCTCCAAATGTCACCGGGCGGCACACCGACGCTGTGGAGACGAGAGATCATGGTCAGTTTTCGTGGAAGCACAGCATCGCTACGCGTACCCGGCTTGGGAACACACATTCTGCGCCGTCGCGCTTGGGTCCCAGATCGGCGAACCCGATGGCGGGCGAGCTGGTGCTGTGCTCGGCTTGCCAGTCTATCACGTCGATGATAGACGAGAACGAAGCCTCGCCGGAGCAGTCGCGCTGTCTTGCTAGGGCTGCCTCACCAAGAGTGCAGGTGAAGTACTTGGGCTCTGCGGGCGCCATGGCGATTTGAGTCGGGACTTTGGGCGACACACTTGGTCGGCTCGCGCCATTGATGTTTTTCCCACTTCTTCGGCTTGCTCGCTTTTGACCGGCAGCGCCAGCAGCACACGCACCGGATTAGCAAACGCCTGGTGCTCACTGGCAAGCAAGTCGAGCTGACCGCTCATCGATCGCGCATTGCGGCGGCTTCAAGATATGGAGCAATCGGCGCGCTCTGTCTCGCCGCTTCGTCGATAATAGATCGACCACCCGATTAGTATCAGTTCGTCGATGCAGACTGTCGACACCATCCAACACGCCAGTTGGTGGCGTCATTGACTTCTTGCTCGTTGCACACGGCTGTAGTTGGCCCCGCACAAACACGCTGGCGAGCTGCAGGCCATCATCGACGGGGTTTGCGGAAGAAGTACATTGCCAAAAGCCCTGAACAGGCAGATTGCATGTCGGAAATCCAGCCGCCGCCAATTCAATGCCCTGCTCGCGTGGCCATGTTCCTCGTCCAATCCTCACACACCCGAAAGACCAATTTGCCCGCCTCTACGCGCCAATTCGTTTACTGTGACCGTCATCCCTGCCTTCCCTTCAGGTCGCAGCCATGTCGGAACGCACGCTTCAAGACACACTCACCCTCGCCAATACGGCCAAGATCCCGCAGCTTGGCTTCGGAGTGTACAAGTCTCCCGAGTCTGTATGCACCAGATCCTGCCATACCGCCCTCGAAAACGGGTACCGCCACATCGACACGGCGCAGTTCTACGGCAACGAGGCGCAGGTTGGGCGGGCGGTACAGAGCTCGACAGTGCCGCGCCAGGACGTCTACATCACGACCAAGGTGCTTGTGGCCGAGGACTCGGTGGAGAAGACGCTGGAAAAGTGTGTTGACAGCGTCGCAAAGCTTGATCCAGACAGCGGCTATGTGGACTTGTTCCTCATCCACAGCCCCAATCCAGGCGCCGCAAAGAGGAAGGTTATGTGGCAGGCCCTCGAGAAGCTGCATGAGCTCGGAAAGGCGAAGAGCATCGGCGTGAGCAATTTCGGGATCAAGCACATTGAAGAGCTCAAGGAGTATGCGACCGTGTGGCCACCACATGTGAACCAGATTGAGGTACGCTTCAGGTTCCTCCGATCCCCCAGCGCAGGCCCCGTAGCTGGCAGAAGGTCACGTCGCTGACGCGGGCGCATCATCATCCAGCTCCACCCCTGGCTGCAACAACGCGACATCTTCGAGTATTGCCACAACCATGGCATCGTCGTCGAGGCATATTGTCCTCTCGTGCGCAACACCAGAGCGGATAACCCGACACTGGCCAAGGTGGCCAACAAGCACTCCGTCTCCCCGAACCAGGTTCTGGTCCGGTATAGCCTCCAAAAGGGGTGGGTACCGCTGCCAAAGAGCGACACGCCTGAGCGCATTGCCACCAATGCAAACGTGTTTGGCTTTGCACTCGGCGATGAAGACATGGCGGTCTTGGACGGTCTCGACCAGGGACACGCGGGCGCGATTGTGCAGCCCGTCGATAATTGATGTGCCGTGGACGCGAGACGCTAGGCGCAGAGGATGGGGCCGTGTTACGGCCTTAGAGCAGACGACGGCAGTCTATAGTACAGCCTTCTTCAGCAATCTATTTCTCATCGCCGGCCTTGGCACTCGTGCCTTCGATGACTGCCCTCGCGGTCTTTCGGCATCCCACCCTGCCTTGATGCCCTACTTTGGCTCCTGACGTACCATACCGGATGATCATAGAAGTCTCTAGTCGAACACGTTCCGCCGCAAGTCTTACTCGCACACGGCCTTCCCCAATCGCCGCTCGTCATTGACAGCCTGTTGACAAAGTCAGGATACGACACCGTCAGTTCGATGCCACCACTAAGGATATGATCGACAGCCTCAACGCCTTGCATGAAACTGAATGTTTGAGAGTGAGCATGAGAATCTTCCCTCTCATCCCAGAACGGGGAACAACTTGACATACCTGTGGTCCTGGTTTCCAACCTCGTACTTCCAGGCCCCAAAGCGGCCGCGAGAGAGTATGTCCTTGGTCTGCAGATATGGCAGGGCTTGTTCCAATAAGCCGTCGCGTTCCAGGCTCGGAGTCGGATAGCCGTGGTCGAAACGTCGGAGGTAAGTGCTCACAATCTCATCCTCCGGTAGTACGAGGTCGTTTGCAACCAGACCTGTGATGCAGTCTTGCAGCAGTGTCTCGTGGTTGACAGGCTTGTATACTGACCCGGACACCTCGAGCATGATGGACCAGTACGGGCCGTGTTGCGCCATTGAGCAAAAGTGAAGCTGCTCCACTAGAGCCCAACTTAGTACGCCATTTATGCTGCAACAGGCCGGGTTGCGCACTCGGAGATTTGGCCTTTTGGCCGTTCGCCAGCTGGAGCGTGGGGAGTTTGACATCTTCGTCTGGTTGATTGAACGGCGAATAGTTGGAAAAGATTGTCGCGCGGTAAAACGGACAGCTGTCCTCCACAAAGTACAGCTAACGTGACCCTGATCAGCCAAAGCGACACTGGCGAGCGTGGATACAAGTGCTCACCCAGCACTTATCACCAACACGTTCAGGGCGTGCGCCTCGTATCAATCCCTACACCAATGACATTAGTCGAGGAGCAGAAAAGCGGCTTGCAGATGGCTTCAAGCTTTTGGTCACACATAATCTCCGCGAGTGAGTCAAGTGCCATGGTGGAAACAAGCCTGCGGTAGTGGACGGTTCCTTTGCGAGAAAGTGGCCGTTAGCAAGGAGAAAGCGTTCTTTTTCCGTACTATTGAACGGACCATCCTTGAGGTGCACCACGTTGGCATCACTGTCGATCTTTGTCACGCCACTGTGCTCGCCGAATCGTGTGTTGTGAGGCGGCAACATTCTGGCGACGGCAGCCCAGATCCCCCCAGTGCCGCCGTGCGCAGGGAAGCGAAAGGTTGCGTTGGGACCCCAGTTTCCTGCTACCTTGTTCAGTATGACATTTCGCGCCAGCAGCTTTACATCAGGCGCGGCAACACGTTCTCCAAGCCAAGAAGCGTTCATCTGTCTTCCATCAGCTTGACTTGCATTGGGGCCAAGACCCGACAAGCAAGCCTAGGGGAGCATCCATACCTTGCTTGTAGGAATAGCCCAGACTTTGAAGTTATAGGGGCGCATGAAGATCTCCGTGAGCCTCTCTCCGACGTTTCGGACGTTCCATTCGTCAAAGTTCTTGGGCTTGTCGGCCGGGGAGCGAGTTCGTGCGTCGAGCGCTGCGTCAATCAGGCTCTCCATGCACCTGGCCTTCTCCTCCTTGGGAAGCACCGCGATGTTATTTTGAAACGGGTAGGGAACCCAATCTCTGTTGAATCGTACGTAGGATACCCGCTGGTGCTCGAACCAGTCGTCAGATCGGGGCAGCGCTTCGTGTAGCGCGTCGTCAAAGTACTTGTAGTGGGAGAATATCACGTGTCCGCCGACGTCGAAGAGCTTCGCGGATTACAGAATCAGATGTTCATGTCCAGGAGCTTTGGCATATTTCAAGGACTTACGAAGCCCTCAGCGGTCACATCGATCGACGCGAGACCTCCAGGCACCGAGCTTGAGTCCACGACAAGCCAGGACGGGTGACCCTGCGTCGTTAGGTGAAACATGATCCTGCCGGGTGTTGAAGAGGTCGAACTCACCAAGTGACTGAGTCTCTTCGCGGCTCCCAGACCTTCGTTCAACTCTAGTCAGAGCGACCAATACCATGGCCTGGGAACCAGCACTTACCGGTCGGACCAGCGCCGATGACAAGAACATCGACATTGCTACAGGACCGTCATCAGCTGCAGTTGACTCGAATGCGCTTGGTCACATCGTACCGGCGGTTACTGCCCATGTTGATACGAGCCGGGCTGCTGCTTTCAGATTTGCGTTGCAATTCAAGGTCGGAATAGAGAAGACCATGTTCAACTTACAAGATCGTTCATCAGCCGACGTTTTTTAAGTTAGGTCACAGATCAATTGGACCACCCAGACAACGAAGGATGGTAAGCGGGGTAAAGCAGAGTAAGAAGAGAGATGCGAATGCGTCTTGATGACCATGATACAGGGGGGTTGGACCTTCGGAGACCAACTTGGCTGTCAACAGTTACGCGCAGTACCAACACCTTCCATTTCAACTCGATACTGTCCGTTGGTCTCCACTCAGATAAAGCACTGTCACATCAAAGCCACATATCTCGCAATTTTCTGTCATGTTCAATGCATAATGTCGTGTTTGAAGCGGTGGCGGGACGGGGGACGGCTTTAGGCTGCCCCGGTTGACTACTCGTTCTCGTGGAGCTCCCAGCAGCGGTCGTATGATGTTGGACCATGAAGCTGGGCCCTTCTGGAAGAGTAGACCTCCTCCTGGCTGTGGGTTTGCACGCATGTCATAGTTCACAAGGACTGAAACATAAACCTCGTGAAGGGGTTTAACGCTCCGTGTGCACATATGATGTGTCTCGGCTTTGCACAAGTAGGGACGCACAGAAGATACCCACATCATATGCCTGTCGTAGCCTGAGCCAGTACTTGGTGACTTGACGGCCTGTACAATTGATGATGTTTATAAAAACCATACAGTCTTCTTATTCGCCTCATTGTAAGCAGGTCATGCTATAGTGAAAGGATCGGCTGATGCCTTCATGCTGCAACTCCTCATAGAGCCCGCTTCTTGAGTCCACACTTGGCCAAGCACGACTCTACCTTCGTAACCATTCCCTGTGGAAGGGCGTGTCGCACCTTATCGATATCTTGCCCCTGAATACTCTGACCAAAGGCAGACTCGATGATGTTATCGCTCAGAGCAAAGGTTTGACCCACAACTGCGCTCGCACCACTGTCCTCAGAAGGAAACGATGCCACAGCCATTGCTGGCTCACATTCTGGGTTCACCTGGGTATGGAACGAACCCATTGGGAAGAAGGTCATCTGCTTAGGGCCCAATTCCGTGCGAATGACTCGCTGCTTGCCGGAGGCGTCAACAACACCAGCCTCAGGAACCATTTCGGTGTGGACGTGACCAGATACCACGACAAACAGTTCGGCGGCTCGCGGATGGAGGTGAAGGAAGCCGATGCTGCATGCTGGCGGACAGTTAGCAACATATATGATAGTTAGTTGATGGCATGCGCATTGCATACGAGGAAACTCCGCGATGGCCATGCTGCCGCCAGTGCCGACCAGAGCAGGAAAGGTCTGGCGGTTGGCGAAGAGGGCCTCGCTATGGTTGAAAGAGTAGGTGAAATTCTTATCATTTTGAAGAAGATTGTAACGTTGGACCGCCCTACATAGTTGGTTAGTCGTTTCCATGATCATTCAACATGAAAGCATTGACTCACGTATCAACCAGCTGCAGCTGGGCCGTCAGGCTGAGCGCCGAGGCAGGGCCGTTGTCTCTGCGCTGAGGAGCTGCCCAAGTCATTGAGGACAAGGCCAGAATGACTGATGAGACAAGGGTGACAGTGTTGTTGATCATTGTGCTGAGTTGAAGATGCAAGATTGAGTGATGCTTTGTTGCCGGATAGTAATCGTGTGTCTGTGAGTTGCGAGTCCAAACACACTCACCACCAGGAATCTGAGACCTTTATATATCTTGTCGTTCAGATCATTTTCACGCTGCCCTCCAGACTCGCGGCTGTGGTAAATTCCAAATAGCGCTGCCTACGAACCTCTCGGCGCAATCGCTGCTCCTCGCGTTTAGGTAGCTCAAAAGACTTGGGATGACGTGGGGTCGTGGAGGTGAGATCGGGATGCAATTGGCTCATTGCTGACCGGACGAGGGCGGACGAACCTAGTGTTGTCGGATTGAGGCTCAGCCTCATTGGCGCAACGATCGAAAGAGGCTCAGCCGCTGTGTCCGTTTGTCTCATTTCAAATACTCTCTCAGTTGCAGCTATGAAACCGGGCGCGCTGATGCCTACATCGATGATACTTTCTCCAAGTGAGCGTGCTAGAAGCGGCGAAACACATCACTTGACACTTTTGCGGCGACCAGGCGCAGGAGGCCTCTCGTCATTCACCCTAGGTGAAGGAGCTCCGATGTATGGCATGGACTCGAATGACAGGAGACAAGCTATGCAGCGGTTCGGCGGCATCATCAGTCCTCACGAACCTTTTGGTGCGTAGCTACATCATCCTTCACATTCCCTATCTAACGAGCATTTTGCACGAGGACTCGCTAAGTTCAGCGACTGCCACACCCGCGGCTGGATCAATTCGCAGGCATGGCCCGTCTCAAATTGACATAAACACCTCCAGCATCTTCTTATAATTAGGAGTGCCCATGCCTGTGACGGGATCCCAGCCCTCCTGGCAGTGAAACCCGCCGTTGTTGCTGCAACCCCAATTATGTGGCCCGCCGAGTGGCTGCGAGCCTACAAGGATGTCGTTGAACATTTCGGGGTGTTGGTATAGCACGGGGTTAACGAAGCCAATTGGTGTCTTCCCGGCGGCAAGCCGTTCCTCGTTGATGAGCGTAAAGATGGCGCCGACTATAGGCGCCGACATAGACGTGCCACCGGAGAGTCCAAAGTCCCCTCCTACTACGACAAGGCCATTGTCCCCGACCGCGGATAGGTCCGGATACGCGCGGCCGTTGCGATTATATACCCCGCCGTTTTGAGGAATCTGGCCACGACTAGTGCTGTATGAGGAAAAGGCGGGCGGGTATTTAGTGAGATATTGTTGCACGGCCTTGAGTTGGTAGCTAGGGGTCTTATAAATATTGCTAAAGCCGCCGCCCGAGGAGAAGGATTCCGTTGCTACCTCCGTGTCTCCGGGCCGCTTATGGTTCTGAAGTACGGTACTGCCTACAGCAGTGATATAAGGGCAGTCGCATGTCGCATCTGGCATAAATATCGTATGGTTGGCGCCCATGCATTGGAGTGAGCGATCTGCTATACCGTCGTCGCCGCTAGCGACAAGAATGGTGGTGCCGGCAAGAGCTAGCTTCATCCACTCGTCGCATTGTCTCTCTAGGTACCTAGATTATACTAGTAAGTATAGACACGAGTAGATGAGAGGGCGTAACCATACCTGGCTGGATACCAAGGCTCGGTGAGACCGTACGATATAGAAATGACGTTAGTTGGCGCTACTGTACCGCAGTCATGCCGAGAGAAGTTGCCGTCGATCTTTGGCGTATCTCCTGTATATCCATGCGATGTGCGGTTGCAATACGTACTATCCATTGCGTCAAGGAAAGGGTTCCAGGCGCCTGGCTTGTCATAACCGGGGTCCGGAACCATATACATGGCAGTGTTTTGCGGGTAGATGAGAGGGACCGCCATCTCAAAGTCAAGCATGCACTCACCACCGGCCTACAGAAAAGTCAGCTACTGACGTAAAGGTGTTTCGTAAATCGCATTTATGATGGCCTGCGCCCCGGAGCAAACAAAAGCCACTCACCTGGTCAGGGTCCGTCGAGATACCGGGAGTGCCGTCAATCTCATAAACAACAGGCGTGAAGTTCTGCGGCACGTGTGGTGCAACTTTTCTCACATACTTGTCCATATCAGACTGCACGTAGAGTTCACCCTCTGCCTCGTAGATGCCCAACCTGTTGGTCGGGTTCGCGTACTTGCCCATCGGGATGTTATACATAGCTCGGAGACAGTCAGGAGTAATCGTACGGCCGCAGTCACCTGAAAGAGTATTGACATGGTTCGTCAGTCATACATCCTCGCCATTTCAAGAGTGTCTGCTTGCGATTCCGTGTGCGAAGACCTCACACCGCTTTGAGCCGAGAGGGCAATCTTGGCTGGCTGCTGCTTGCAAGGGAGAGCATGATCGCCGCTAGTGCGATGCTGAACAATTTACGCACCGGGATTTGACTGTGCCTCCAGCGGCAGAGGACGCACCGGCCTGCCGCCCGTGCCTCCAACACCACTCTTCCGTCGGCGTAAGCGCCTTCCTGCGCCAAGCCGGCCGAAGGCTGTGCCGGGCACAATGAAGTCGACGTGTGCGGCGACCTCTTCTGGCAAGTGATACTCATCGGTGCCAAGATGATCGATATCTCCCTCACCACGAGTTGATATATGATTATAGATATGGTACTCAGCCTTGACAAGCGATTCGAGCTGGCCGACGGTTGAGTCAAAATGGACCCATCCTTTAGTGTTGGGCACCACTATAGACTCCTCAGCAACTCCGGCTCGAATTAGCCAATCCTTAACTTTTGCAATAGACTCTGCCGAGGGTGCGAAGAGGTCGATGATCTGCTCTCGGGTATACCACTGCCCGTACTTTCCCGATGTGTGAGTCGGGTCGGACCTGTTATCGTCGCTCATCTGCGTTAACATATTGCCGAGAGTATGGGCTCGTATAAATTGCAGACCTACACTTCTAAAACGAAGTCCATCCCTCGCTCTAGATTCCGCTGCTTCAGAGCGATGCGGACGGGGACCTTGGTGCTAGGGTCTGCGGCTTCACGTTTTTCCCATGCATCGTAATGCAATTCCTCGCTTCGCTTTTGGTGTAGCACATGAGCGCCGTGTGAGGCTGGTGCACTCAGCACGCTGGTCACAAGCCCGCTGATGAGAAGGAGACCACGCATTGTGCAGTGAATCGGCTCTTCTGGGAGCTTTTCCAGCTATGGTCAAGCAAATGGCGAACTCGAACTGATCATATTCTTGGATCAGAACACAGGCCAGCAGAGGTGGGCGCCAATGCATTTTAAATGAGAAAGAAAAGACCGTCTCTCTTTTATTCTGTCTCATGGCAGCTCTAGAGACCGCAGTGAGCGAGCTGCCTATCCTGTCTTGGCTTCAAAACTCCCGATGATGATGTTAGCTGAGATGCCATCCGGGGATGCATCCTGCCTGACAGTACAAGGCCAACTTAGAAGGTGTACAGTACAGTAGCTCGCATGGCGAGGCGGTACTGTGATATGAGCGTGGCCGAATTGAGGCGAGATGACCAACCGAGGGCATAACCGCTGCCAACAGAGCCTTGTATACGAAGTACCATACACAGCACTACTGCAGGGGATTCGGTCTGGGCCGGTTAATCGGCACTCGCGCGGGGGAGCTTGCTCCCAAAAGGGAAGTCGCTCGGGGTTCATCCTACGCAGCCAACAAGCCGCCTCGCACATGACGCGCTGATGCTGTACGGCGTGTCATCGTGCAGCTCGCAAAACACGACAGCAGTTTTGTGCCCACTAACCCCCAGACAGAAACGACCAACGTCTCCTGAGACTGCCTGCCCACCACTGCACCGCCAAGCGACGCGGACCCATCCCAGAAGCCGACCTCCTCCATTGAGCAAATACCGTCGCAAACTGGCTGCCTATGCAGTCTGCTGGCTTGAGGACATGAAGCTCTGTCCAGTCTTTAGCGGTGAGGTACGGCTCTGTTCTAGGTAACATCAAAGATACTTCACCTTCGTGTATGTAACGCATCGGGCTGACTGAGCAAAGGCGACTTCAGTCTTCTGACGCTCCAGTCACTCGTCTCGTGCTGCGTCACCAGTGAGCTGACTCTGCGGGGTTTCTTTCAATAATCCCGCCTCTCATACCGCGCTTTCCTGCACCAGATGCCGCGGTAGCCGTTGTTCGGTAAACGGATTACCCAACAGACGATTCGGTGCGTTTTGTACCCAACAGGTATTCGGCCAACCTGGAAGTCATGCCTCGCGCAACTCCCGTCCGTATTTCTAGCCACCTAACGTCTACTGTACCACATCCCTTAAATGCAGCATTTTCTGGCTTGGCCGCGGCAAAAATACGTCTTCTTGGCCCTTCGAGCACCAGGGACTGTGAAGCTCCTCCGAGCCACAAGGACCCAGCCAACGAAGGCTCTCCTCCGTGGGCCACGGGCAGGCCGGGCTGGCGTTATGCGAAACCAGAAATACTGAGTTTCACGCTGACCTACGAAATCAGTCCTGTTCTCAACGCAGTTATCTCATATTCCACATATTCCCACCGCCCGTGTAATCCCGAGTCGTCGATTCTTGTGGATGGCGCCAGGTGGAGATGGCTCGGCGGGCTCGACGGGCCAGTGGAAGGGAAGTTATGGTATTCTAACTCAGATCTTCGATGTAACCCGAGGCACAAGTACACACTGTCTATGGCGTTACGAGCGCTTCGAAACGTGTGAGGGGGGAAACCGATTAGCGGCTCAAAGGCAGTGCAAGCATGTAGTTCACCGTCACATTGACAGCCACCGGCAGACCCGGTGGCAAAAGCCGGTGTGGCGCCGAGCGTCAATGCCGCCGCCCTGGTAAAAGCGCATCGCTCCGGTGACCCACACCCTGCCTCGGCCCCGGGGGTGGGACCAGGGCGCTGTGCTGAGCAGCACTGTAGACCATCCCTCACTATTTGTTCCCGTAACATTTGCCAACGTGATCCTCTCCGCATGCTAGGGTCGGTCCACGTCTACTACCTTCTGATGAAACGAACACATAGGAAAGTGCAGAGTGGCTGCGATGTGTGCAGGCGAAGGCGAGTCAAGTGCGACGAGCTCAAACCCCAATGGTTTGTGGCAACGGCCCTTGTCGGCGAATAATGACAACTGGCTGACGGTGATAGCACGCGGTGTCGACGGTGGACGGCCACCCGTGGTGTGCCGCTTGCCTGCAGGTACACTGCAGGAAAAGCTGCCCTTGAGGTGACAGCACAGTCAGAGTCACCATCCTGCGTGTTACGTTCGGCAGCGTCTCATCGGGGCTGGCCCAACCCAGCATCAGGCCTAGAAGCAGCACTGCTCAACCACTTGTGCGTGCTCCGGAACGAGCTGCGACCGGCTGCAGAATGGGGATTGCTAGCTGGCGTGAATCAGTTCTCAAGGTTCGCTAGAAACCCAGGCCAAGGCGACAGGAGACTTACAGCGTCAGGTTCCTCGCCCTGGCGGGCAGCTTTGAGCATCTGCGCTACACTTTCTGTAGCCTCAGTGCCAGCCACAGACGGACCCTGACACAGTCGGCCGCGATGGCTGAGGTGGAGACCCGTTACAGACTCATGGCGGTACAGTCCATGATTGCCGAACTGGACAACATTGGGTCTCAATCTGTGACGTCGCATCACATTGCCAGCCAGGCGCTCATGGCATCGGCGACACTGATGGCGTGGTATAGCGCTGACCCGTGCGGCTTCCCTCTGTACCTTGCTCAAGAGCGACGCGCCGCTAACGACATGAAGACAGGAGTATTGCCGCCTTCTCGCGGGGATATTTGCAGTGGGTGCTGGCCACGATAAAGTTTTGCATTTTCTTCGCTGACGAGTCGGGTGTCAGTTCTACCCTGATCAAGCACGCAGCACCGGAACTGCTTGCAGGACTGATTCGATCCAGAAGAGTGACGCCGCGGCATTCGGGGACTCGCACGGAGTAGGCGGGGAAATCTACGCAGTTTTGGATGAGATTACCGAGGCGCTTGCCGAGCTGTCGAGATGCAAATTGGACGTGGAGCTCCGAGCCGCAGTGAAGGACCTCTCCAATTTTATCTACAACATCAGACATCTTCCACTTGGCTCACTGTCCCGCCAAGAACAGCTCTCAGCAATGTTTCCCATCCGAAACTGGCTGCGCTTCGTCCCCAGAGCGCCGAAACAATTTGCTGCCGGTGGCGACTTTCCACTGTACCTCTACTTGGCAAGCTATGAGACCACGATGCTCGTCATGGGATCGGTCTTACCATGCGTTGGCATTCCCTTGGCAATCGAGGAGAGGCGGGCCTGCGTGGGGAGAATTCGCAACTTCCTTCGGGGCCGGATCCCCCATGCAGCGGGCTGTGATGCGGTTGATACAGCACGGGTGTACAAAGCATACGTCAGATGGATCAGTGTTGCGGAAGGTGCCATCAAAGCGACTTCACGTCATCCTATAGAACGAATTGGTTTGTAAATTCACGAGCTGAACTCTGTTTAGGAAGAATCCATCTCGCGGTTTTGCTCTTCCTTTTCTCGCTTGAGGCGCAGCAGCTTCACGAGAAGCTCGTCTCGCTCCTGTTCGAGCTCATTCGCATCACGCCCGTGCAGCTCCTCTGCCACGCTGGCGCTGAGGGCACCAAGATTCTCTTTACTCCAAATGAAGCGGTTGTTCTGGATGTCGTCAAGCCACTTTTGGACTGCAGGGCCCAAATGTTGCAAGACGTGTGCAAAGCCGTCACTGCCGCCGCCCCCACCCATAGCATTGGACATAAACGGACCGGTCACAGCCCAGCGAGGGCCCAGGCTGCTAGTCATGCAGGTATCTACTTCTGTAAGCATCTATATGTCTTTTCACTGCCTTTTGTGCCATAGAACCTTACCGAGATCTTGAGCAGACATGACTCCCCGGCTCACGAGGCTATAAGCTTCATTGCAGAGCACAGCCTGTAAGCGGTTGGCGGCGAATCCGGGTATCTCTTTTCGAATGACAACTGGCCGTCGTCCGAGGGACCGGTAGAAGGCGACGGCCGTGTCAGTGGTTGCCTTATCGGTGGTGGGATGGGGCACCACTTCAACAAGTGGCATGAGATGTGGAGGGTTGAACGGATGCCCGATGAGCACCCGGCCGGGGTTCTTGTAGCATTTTTGGATAAAGTTTGAGCTCGGTATGCCTGAAGACGAAGATGCAATGACAACGTCTGGACGGGTCGCGGCATCAATCTCGCCAAGCAGCTTGGTCTTCAGATCGACCCTCTCCGGCGCGTTCTGTTTGCGGCGTCAGAGCAGCCGATGTGACGTGGGATGCAACACTGACCTCTTGAATGAAGTCAACATCTGCATAATACTTGCCCAGATTGGTACCAACGAACTGGTAATTGGACAGGGATGCGTTTGAGGAAAGTCCAAGGGTCTTGAGGGTGGGCCAGATGGCCTGGAGATGCTCTGCGAGTTTCTTCTCTGCCTTTGGTGCTGGGTCGGAAACGAGAACTCGCAGGCCGTGAGCGAGGAACAGACCCGTCCATGACGCCCCGATCACCCCGGTGCCAACAACGCCTATAGTGCGGATTGCCATCGGTGACAAAATTTGCTGAAGCGCGGAGAGTGTAACGCGCGCCACAACAGCCGGTCGAACACAAGCGCTCCGGCCGGTTTCGTGGATATATATATACACAACGAAGCTGCGGGCAACATGCGCCCCTGCCAGAGGACGCCAGGTACATCGGCCGCCGGGAGTCCCGCGGAGGGGTGAGTGGGCCTCTCGGACGGCACCGCGATCCCGACATGGCCGCACGATGGACTCGTGGTCGGCTCGGTCATGTACGTACGTACAGCGGTCGAGCCAGAGGGCCCACGTACCGGACTTTCAACGAGGACATTCCATGCTGCGAGTGCGAAGTGTCCCACTTGGCTGTTCCGAGGCTCAAGGCCAAGCACCCCACCACGGCATTTGAGGGTGCCGACAATCGGATGTCGCGGGCAACCTGCCGTGGTCCCTCCCGTCCTCAAAGCAGCTAGACCATCTCGTTCATGCAACCCGCCGGCGCTTCGGCGTCGGCAGTGGCGCCGGCCCCACTTTGATCGGACAGCGACCGATGCATGAACGTCGTCGACCTGGAGCAGCTCAAGCGCGGGACAAGGATGCCGAGTTGTATTTTAGCAGCTGTATTCCCAGTGCTCGTTTCTGTTTGCTATCCCAGCCGCTATCATTGCGAAAAGCACAGAACCTTCTTTCAACTTCGACCGAACAATATGGCTCACCACACCATCAAGGACGTGTATGGTCCTGGCACATTTACAGATGTCACCTACACGCCCTTGCCCGCAGAATGCCAGCGGCTGTTGCGATATTTCGGAGAGTTGTCTCCTGGTTTCACCAAAGACGCTTCGGCAGTAACCAACGTCGATTTTCATGGTGCTGATCGGCCAGTGATACCAGGGCCGTTGAAGTCTCAGGCATTTGTCAGTGTATCACAAAAAAAAAACTACAGACCGCTTCCCGCTGACGATCTTATAGTCTGCCGTTCTTCACGCCATGATTGGAATCGTCGGCAAAGAAATCTGTGCTCTCAAAGGTATCGATACTGGGAAAATTTCCATCGACGTGGACAAATCCGGTCTTTATCCAGCATCGGTCGCACTTATGTCCATTCAAGGGAAAGACCTAGTTCAGATTCAAAAAGACGGCACTCTTACCGGCCCGGGAACGGACCTCGATAGAGGCGTTATCAACAAGAATCCCATGCGATATCGAACCTGGGCAATTTATCCGACCAAGGATCCTCGCGTGTGGTATCAGGTTTTGGGAAACTTTGATCCCCCTGGCTTCTTGAAGGCCTACAGTCTCGACGTGAATGCAAACGTGTACTCCAGAGACGAGGCTTACGACACCATCAAGGAAGAAATGACCAAACATTCGGCCGCCGAACTTGAGTTGAAGAACATGGTGCATGGCTTCTGCGGCCAAACATGCTACACGCCAGATGAATGGAGGAACACAACAATGGGCCAGCGCTTACACGCACATCCAATGGTCAACTACACTCAGGTCCAGGGAACATCTCACCTCGCACCCGTGCCTTTCCCGGCCCTGTCTGACGAACGTCCGTTGGCAGGCATAAAGGTGGTTGAGCTAGCTCGGGTCATCGCCGGGCCTGCAATGGGTGCTGCCTTGTCTGCCTTGGGAGCGGACGTCATCAAAATACAAAGCCCGAACTTGCCAGATCTACAGGTAAGTCCAATCGCTTCATTCAACACCTCCGCTCCCTAGGAATAGAAGGTGGCTGACTCGGTGGTCGACGATGTAGCCTTTGAGTGTGACATTGACGGCTGGAAAACGAACCTGCGCACTCGATCTCAACAATGCGAGCGACAAGGAAAAGGTAAAGGCCCTCATAGAAAATGCAGATGTTGTCATTCAAGCTTTCCGCCTGCGGTCGCTGGAACGCAAGGGGCTCGGTCTCTCCGACGTCGTTGACATGGCCAACAAGCGCGGAAAGGGCGTTGTCTACGTCGACTTGAACTGCTACGGCCCGGATGGCTATTATGCCGAGAGGCCTGGTTTTCAACAAATTGCCGATGCAGCGACAGGCTGTTCGTATGTCTGCGGCAAGGCCTATGGGTTTGACGAGGGGGTGAGCGTGCTCCCGTCTCTGCCTATTGCAGACATGCTTTCAGGGGCAGTTGGGGTTATCGATACCCTGCTGGCTCTCCGGGACCGCGCAGTGCACGGCGGGTCCTACCACGCTCACGTCGCTCTAGCGGCAATTGACGCGGCGCAGTTAGAGGAGGAAGTTGGCCTTTATCCTCCCGAGGTGGTCAAGGAGGTACAGGAGCGATGCAAGTTTGCGCCCATGACGCCGGACCTCCACGTGGAGGAACTCCTTTCCGTTGTGGCGGAAGCCTGGGCCCAGAACACCGATCTGCTGCAGCGGCCCGGGTACATGGTCAAGTTTACAGAGACGGCCTGGGGCAAGGATCACGAGATTCTATCGCCAATTGTCCAGTACGAGAACGAGTCAGCCAGCCCCTATTGGAGCCATGGACCTGTTCCGTACTGTGCAAGCACGAGCGAGAATTGGACAGAGCAATGATGTGCACACATACGCTGCCATTTGTGGATGAACTCAAGTGTTCCAGCCAGCTCAGAGGCATTGCTACCAGGAGCGGTTTGAACTGTATGCATCATCGCTGGATCAGGCTCCAAACATACGAGGTCACTATTCAAGTAACAGCTAGACGTCAACTTGACTGCTTCTCTTTTACAAACATGCTTTGCCACCGCCTCAATCGTCTCATACCAAGACGATGCCCGTAAAGGCTCGCTCCTTGTCCTCAAACAACTTGGTCTTGTTCCCCCACTTTTGCTAAAGGTCCATATGGCGCCCCCGAAGTCTGCAATAAACCACTTCTCTGTATCGGAATCGAAGGCCATCCCAATTGCCTCGTCAAAATTCTGCACCAGCATCTCGTGCCTTAAGCCAGTCACTGGATCTGGGTTCCCTGCCGCCGGCTGACTCCCTTGTGCGTCTAACCTGACGCGATTGAACGTGTTCCCAAACGGCAGCTCACCGCGGTCCTTCCAGTAGAGGGTATTAGCTTCCTCATCTATGTGCAGATCAATCGGCTCTGGCAAGCTGTCGAGGACGCATACGGCTTCTCGAGGGCCTTCATCATTGAGATGGGGTATGCCCATGTTTGTGAAATACAAGCGTTTCTGCTTTGCGCTATACACGACACCGTCCAGCAGAGAGAATCTCGTATCTTTGAGAAGCGAAACTGGCGGGTCGCCGCTCCCAGGCAGTCGTAGAATCTCGCCTTGAGACATGATATGCTTCAGTGGCTTGCCGGTGGCTGGCCTGCTGAGTCCAATGTCGAGAGCCACCAGAGTCTTTGACGCCATTTTGTATGAGACTTTTGTCTTATATTATGTTTGAAGCTGCTTTGATGTGTGGTACAGCTCAATGACATGAGCGAGAAGCAGCCGCTATATATGCCCAGCCTTCAACATCCTTCTTTCAACCGACCAAGCACGCGATGTTGACGAGCCTCGGATCTCCGGCGCAACAGAGTCCACATCGGAGGCCAGGCAATAGAACTCTCCACCTCTCCTTGCACCTTGTATAAATGTGTGGTGCTCGTGGCCGACGCTATGTCCACTTCTTCTTGCCAAGTTCGGGGTTCGTCCCGTAATGGTGTACGCATCTCAGCACTCCTTGCCTATTCGGATGTAACGGCTTGGCACAGGAACGACACATCTACAGAGTCAAAAAACACATGGCGCTCCCTGCACCCTGGAGGAGGTAGTATTGTCGGATCATCGGATGGCGGCAAGGCCCCCTTGCGCTCTGTTGGGTTTGGCAACCGCTACGTCTCCATGCTCCACCCAAGCCATCGTGCCAGCGACACCGATCAAATCGGGTAGATGAAGAAGGGATTCTCCAAGTCCGTCAGGTCCAACATCGCAATGGGGACCTCCTTGCGCACTGCGACGCCCGTCTCGTCGACGTGTTCCACCTCTCCAAACTCGTGCTTCCGTCGCTCCGCCTCGGTCAAGCTCGCGGCCCATTTCCTCCGCTCGGCGTTTCTCCTCCTCAGGATGATCTGGATGGCGAACAGTACCAGCGGCGTGCCGACCCAGCTGACGACAATCTGCGCGATCCACGCTCCGTAGTACCGCGGAGCGTCTCGCGGGACCCATATCTGGGGCGAGATGAGATTCGCGACGCTGTAACCGAGCATGAACATGACGTTGCGGGTCAGTTTCTTGGTATAGCCGGCGGCGGAGGATGTGGTCCACCCGAGGGCAATGATGTAGGTGTTGCCGTAAGTATGTCCCGCCAAGAGCAGGCACGCCAGCAGGGCGAGCTGCTGGTCCCAGCTGATGGCGACCATGCCGATACCGCCTGCGATGGCCGGTATGCACCAGACGAGCCCGTGGAGCGCCAAGTTAGACGGCCACCAACGGAGGGCAAACGTGCCGGCGAGGCAGACGGCTATGCCGAAGCCGCCGCCTGCCGCGGCAACAAGCGTTGATCCCAGGCTCGTCACGCCCAGCGACTTGGTGAGGAGGTTCTGCTGCCCGTACGTGAGATTATTCGACATCATGAGCGTAAATGACTGCAGGCAAAACAGCCACGAGACGGGGTCGCGGAGCGTCTCGCGAAACTGTGCGGCCTTGAACTGCTTCTGCTCGATGGAGCTCTGGCTGGATGCCTGGACGCGGCGAATTGTGTGCACCTTTTCCTCAAGCGTGAAGAACTTGGCCGTGCCGGGGTTGTTCGGGTAGTGGAACCAGACCACGGCGGACAACAGCACGGAGATGCCGCCCGTCACAATCATGAAGAGCTTCCAGGGAAGGACATGGCTCTTGCTCCACAGCAGCCCATAGGAGATGAAGGCCGCGCACACAGGAGCGGCGGCCGAGGTGACCCAGAGAAAGGGCTGGAGGAACGACTGCTCCTTGCGATTGAAGAACATGCCTATCGTCATCTCCATGGCTGGGACGACGACGGACTCGCTCGCGCCTAGAAGCAGTCGCAGTACCACGAGCCCGGCGTACCTCGTGGCGACGCAGTGCAACAGAACGGTGGCGCCCCAGGTAAAGACGAGGCCGGCGACAAACTTGCCCAGCGGCAGCCTCTGCATGGCGTAATGGCCGGGCCATTGCGCGGCGAGATAGCCTGCGAGTGTCAGCGACTGGGTCCCGCGAATCGCATACTCAAACACTCACCGACGTAGAAGAAGGTGCCCAAGTTGTTATACTCGGCTTTGCTGATGCCCGTCTCCTCAAAGAGGCCCAGGATTGCGGCGTAGCCGAGCGTCGACTTGTCCACCTGGCCAACCGTGTAAGCATTTGGGGGGCGTCGCGGCCGACGGCGCTACTGAACGACTCACAAACAACAGCAGGTTGATGGCAGAAAGCAGGCCCATGACGTGCCAGTACGTCTTGCGCCGCAGCGCCTTCTCGGCGTCGGGGGTCAGCGGGCCAACATGCGCGCCATGCTCCTCAATGATGCGCAGCGTCTCGTCGGCGTACTTTTCGGCAACGACGGGCTCGTCGCCGGGGGCCTTCTCGGCGCGCACCGCGGTCCCGTCTTTGGCAGTCATTGGGATTTGGCCCGAGCGCCGTGAGGGGACGGCAAATGCAAGAGAGGAGCGGTGGGATCGGGGAGCAACAACATGATGTGCTTGGGGCAAGGGGTGTTGGGCGTCTTTATCTATTCGCGGCATGTGTCAATCGGCGAACCTGTAATAAGCTACATGAAGTGCGATATCGCATCGTCACAAATTTTCCCATTTCGTCTCAACGATGTCGGGAAGCGCGCCCTGGTGTGGTTCGGCTGCGGCGAGGAGGAGCAAGCTAGTCTGTCGCGACAGCTGGTGGAGCTCTTGCGTGACGGGCGACGCGGAGTAATACATGTCTCGTCCTCCGCCTATCGCCGGTTCGCACCAGAGGCACGGCTCTCGCTCGGGCGGTGGTGCGATAGGGGATCTAGACATTTTTCGGTCGACTGCCGCGCTCGCGGGGAGGGTTGCATTGCGGTCGATCGCTGCTGTCAAGCTCCGGGAGCATCCCAGATCACCTCGCGCATGGGTGTCGCCGGCCTACGCCGTTGACCAATGCTTGCGCTCTGCCCGGTTGGCGCAACCCGCTGTTTTCCGTCCCTTGTTGTCTATTGCTGTCAGAGTCGCTCGCTCATCATCACAACGCCAGCGCCTCCTCACTCCGGACAATCGGGCGGGGCGAATTCCATGCAGTCGTGTTGCGCTGCGTCGGTTCGCACGGATGGCCAAAGGCGTTTCCATCGCTTCCCCACGCTTCCATTCTCAAGATCAGAGAAGCGGTCAAATGTCTAGGACGAGGTCGTTGGTCGGCGCGTTTTCACCCACGAGCGGCTCTCCCAAGCGGTCGCCGAGCTTGACAATCGTCTGCTCGTACACCCTCGCCGCATCCATGTGCAGCCTCTCCTCGTCGGTGTCCCAGGCTGATGCCTGCGCGCCGCCCAGTCCGTTGTCGGTGTCTGTCTCTGACTCGTCCTCATCTTCCTCCTCCTCCTCCTCGGTGCCTTGGCTCATCAGCTCGACCATGAGCACGCGTGTCTGCTCCACCAGGCTCCGGCACCGCACCATGTCGGTGACCGTCATGCCCGCGCGCAAGCCGTTCTCGAACCCGGGAAGCGGCTCGGCGGAGTCAATGTCTTGGCCGCCGAGCAGGCTCGCGAAGCAATGGTCCAGCTTGCGAAGCAGGGCGAAGGTCGCGCGGGGCGCTGGCGGGAAGGACCTGATGTACTGGGTAAAGTCGCTGGCCAGCCTGAGCAGGAAGGGGATCTGAAGGCTCGCTGCGCGCGATGTCAGTCTCACAGGCAGCAGCAGAGTCACGGGCGTTTTGCTCTACTCACGCGTGCCCGATAGCCACAAGACATCGGCAAGGGCGTCGAGCTCCCTGCACAGCTCGCTGGCGCTGTTGAAGCCCACGATGCTGTCGTTTCCGTCATTGCTGCCAAACTTCTTGACGTAGCGACGAGACACGTTGAGCAGCCGCTCATCGGCGTAGCGGCGGACCAGGTCCTCCTTGTTGCCGCCCGGTGCGAGGGCGCGCCGGCGGGGATGCGGGAGGCTGCTTGCTGCTCGAGAGGACGCGGACGACGGGGCGGGAGAGGGCAGGCCGGTCTGCGGAAAGAAGCCGCCCGGCTGCGGAGTTGATGGTTGCTGGGCCATGAGTGGCAAGCTGTGATGCGATGTGATGTGGTGTGATGGAGTCGAGCGCCTGAAGCTCGGGTGAGGCAGGGTGGTGAGCCTCCCGTCGGCGGCTGCCTCGGCGATGGGCGTTTTGCTGCGACGGGTACGTGATTGAGCAGAGAGAGGCTCTGTGAGGCGGCTCTGAGAGGCTGGCGTAATGGAACACACGAGGGGTGGTGGATGCTGTAAAGTACGATTGCGCGCTCATCAACCATGAGTGCTAGCTACACTGCTGACCGCGGCGGCTCTTGTATGCCTCAGGTAGGTACGATGGCATGTCCGTACAGTGCCAACAGCGAAGCCTCTCGCACAGCCTCACGCGGCCGCCGGACCCTCGGCGCAAGGTTTCGTGCAAAGCACGACAAAGTTCGCAGAGGCAACAAATTCTAATTGATCGCGTGCCATTCTTGCACGAAAGACTTGGCGCCTTGTTTGAGGCACAATCGAGTTTGTACCGCGCTGCACAAGGTGTAAGTCGCTGTTGGGCCGAGCTGCCTGTGGGTTGGTGACACTGAATCATGCGTGACCCAGCACAGACGACACTAAGATCACACGTCGCTAACGGGTCTACTGCACAATCCTGGTGTCGTCCGGTTAGTGCACCAAAGTCGCAGCCTCGAAATTTTTGGACTCGTCGGCATCGCCACGGTCGTCAAAGCTTCTTCCGTCATCACCACCGCAAGCCACATCAACCTCCCGCACTCGCCCTCACACATCCACGATGCCTCCCAAGCGCATGTACGTCGACGGGCCCTCGCGCCGCGCCCCCAAGGGCTTCGTCGCCTCCACCTACGAGACCCTCACCTCGTCGGAAAACGCCGCCGTCGTCCGCAGCATCGCCGTCTTCGGGGTACGCTCCCTCACCTGTATCTTGTCGCTGCCCCAACTGGCCGTGACTTGAACTGCGAGACCGAGACTGACCGTCTATCCACAGGCCGCCGTCACCTTCCTTGCCAGCTCTTGGGGCGAGCTGCTCCTGCCTCCGTGAGTAGCTCCCGTCCGGCTCGTCCAAGGCGACACGACTCGGCCGCCGGCTGACCCATCGTCGACAGCCAGTAATTGACCCCCCACCCATCGACAACAATCCGAGACGCGTCATCGCCGAACGAGCGAGCGACTTGTCGTGTGTATATTAGCCGAGACGATGTGTACGCTAGAGCAAGGGACATGGACACGCCGCGTTGGCGCTGAGTGACGTCGCTCGACACAGGGAACTAGCGACTGGAGGCATTTGTGCCATGAATGGCTGGCTGCAACATAGACGAATGATATCACTCGCCGCTGAAAGACCAGTTCCATGTGCTGACGTGCTGGAGTGATCCCTCGTGGGAATCCGAGGGATGAGGACCGCGAAGACTGTTGCGATTTCGAGGAAAGCTGACCCCGCCGATATTGACCAGCCTCGGCCGCCAGCCGAGCCTCTAATGGAAAGAACAATGGGCGCAGGGCCGCAAAACCCGACCTCGAGCTTCCTGTGATATCGGCTTTGACTTGCCAACGCAATCCTCGGCTGTCACGACAATTCGGCCAACATGGCTGCCGCTCGACCGCGTACGTACACCGCAGGCCTGACAGGTCTCGGGCTTGACCTCGACCGCGAATCCAGCACCCATACAAGTGGCGGCCGAGGAAGTGGTCTCGCTCGCCTCGTCTCGAAATACGAGACTCTCAATGCAGGGAACAGTCTCCCCCAGCCCACTCGGTGTATGGAGCTGCCGGCCAAGCATGCGGATCCGACTTCTGCAAACACGGCTGGCGTCACGAAGCCTTTGGCTTCGATGACTCCGTCCAAGTCTGCTGGGTCGTTCCCGGCAACGCGGGGCACCACAGCCGGCTTTGGGCTGTCGCTACGACAAGTCCCGTCAGCCCTGACTTCCGGCGACTCTTCTTCCGCCCGAAGCACGGCATCCGGTGTTGATCGCGCGTCCATGGTGGCGGAGCGGCGCAGGTTCTTCGAGGGACCACAGGCTGGGAAACTCTCTTGTAGGGCCATGGCCCATTGGAATAGTCGATACCACCTGCTAACTGGCATTGGCAGCTTCGTCTACCTCTTTCCACCACGGGCCAGCCGACACCAAGGCGAGTCTGCGCACGGCATCCAGCTGGCAGACCCTGCGAACGGCCTCGCCGCCGCCGAGCTCGAGATCAAACTGCACCGTGCTCCAGCACACTCCGGCGTCCAACGCGCGCAAGCAATCTACATACAATTTTCCGACGGCCACGTGCTCGTCGCTGCCAGACAGCCTGAGCGTGAGCTCTACTACTCGGTTGATTGGCGATGCCCAGCCGACAGACCACCAAACGGCGTTCATGCCGCCGCCGCAGCAGCCGGGAACTAGCCACCAGAGGCCTGAGACTCCGGGACGGACCTCTGATAAAGGAGTCGCGGGCGCCTTGAAGCACAGGCCAAGGGAGGTCATCACTGCCATCGCAAAGACGCCCGTCGGCGGCACTGCCCGCAAACTCCGCAACCCGGTGGTGGCGGCAACTCCAGCGCTGAGGACGGCCAGGGCCCATTCTCCCACATTCGCGAGCCTTCAAAAGCGATTCGACTCTGCCCGTCAGTCTACATCGGCTCCATCGCTCTGGAAGAAGAGACAAGATCCGTCCGCGCACGAGCAGCTGGCCGGGACACGATCATCGTATCTGAGCATTCCGGAGTCTGACCGTGGCCCCTGGGCCTCTGGTGAACAGCAGGAGCAGTTTCATGACAAGCGGTCGAATCCGATGCACGGCAACGAGCCCGCAGCCAACCAGCCAGGACTACGAGACGCCATCGATCTTTTTGAGTCGCTCGGTCGTCACGCGGGGGCAGGGGCTTACACACAAGGATCCCAGCATCCAGCATCCATAGCTCACGGCGCGGAGAGGCTCGAGTGGACGAATCTAGCTAGGAATCGGGTAGGGGCGACTCTGAGAAAGCTCTCTGGCCCATGGAGAAGGTCTCGACTTGGGAGTCATGCGGCGAAGACGCGACTTGCATCGGACAAGCATCGTACTGCGCGACCGTCTACTTCGACGTCCAACGACGGGTCCGTGGCGGATTTCCAGGGCGCCTCCCAGACCAACCTGATCGACGCGGTGACGTTCGACTTTGACGACGACTTTTGCAGACCTGCGCCTTCGCTGCCATCTGAGCCGGGATCTGACCCTGAAATGCACCCCGTCCATGGCTCGTCCGCTCTGAAGATGCTGTCGCACAGCAAGATTAGCGACGCGCAGCCTCACCACGCGAACGGGAAGCGGGCTCCCGACAGTGACACAGACGCGGAAACGAAAAGGGCCGAGTCTTGGATCCAGTCGACGCAGCAGCCCGAACGGCTCGTATCGAGCCGGCGCTGGATGTCGCGCAGCAGCGGGGCTGGGACCATGGTGGCACGCGTGCAATGTGCGCTGCAGCAGCCGAGGCCGGTGAGGGCGAACGAGGTGAAGCGGCTGGTGAGCCTCTGCAAGGACAAGGTGACGGGCTGGAAGGGCCGCAGTCAGACCGAGTGAGCAGAGCAGAGCGGACGGCCCGGAGACGGGCGGCAGCTAGACTGGACTCTCCATGCAGTGCAGCAATACAATGCACGCAGGGAGCGAAGCGAGGTGAGCGGGCGGCAGTGGCAGCGCAGCATGTTCTAAACACGGGCGAGGAGGAAGGCTCGCAAGGCAATGCGCTACAGACACAGACGGTCGGTCGCTACCAAGTACAATACTTCACGATGGGTTCGTCCACTCGAGTACGCATAGTCTTATTACCCTGTCCGCACGAGTACACGTAGTATGAGGAGAAGCTGCCATGCCAGGCACACCCTAGCCAAGACGCCGCCTGGCGCACAAATGAGATACCATGGCCCCGTGAGCTGGGGTTGCCAAACGCCGAGCTCCATCCCCTTGTTTATCCTTGCGTGCTGCTGCTGCCGTTTCCTTTCCTGCGCCTCGTCGATCCCGCAAGATATTGGAGCTTGCGTAACGGGCCTCGCAGGCCATCCCCTAGACGCCCTTCTCCACGTCCCTCTCCCCATCCCTGCCCTCGCCGCCGCCAGGGTACCCGCTGTCACGCCGGTACGGGGGCCGGTCGCCGCCCAGGTCACTCTCCGAATCGATCTGGCGGAGCTCGACGTCGAACTGGTCCGGAGGATGATGGGCCTCGGCGTCACCATCGTCGTGCCTCGAGGCGGACACGGTCGTGCTGGTGGGGCTGGTACCCGCAGAGGCATCGTGATGGTGGCGATGGTGGCGTCCGGGGGAGGAGAAGCTGTGGAGGCGGAAGGCGGAGAGGAAGGAGTGCTTCTCGTCGTGCGCCGCCGAGGATGCGCGATCGCCGTCGCTATCGGCGGTGCGGGTCGCGGCGGTGCCGCCGGTACGCATTGTCTTGCCTCCCGTGGCGGTGACGGTGTCGCCGCGGGTGCTATGGTGGCAGGCGCAAGAGCAGTCGCTGCGGGTGCAGAGCGAGTAGTCGGGGCCGGGGCCGGCGAAGGAGCGCGCAGAGATTTGCTGTGCAATGAGGGTGCCGATAGGGAGGAGGATGATGACGGAGGCGGCGACGAGGGACTGAGACTCGAAATTTTGGAACGTGCCCCATTCGAGGCCCGCGAAGACGGCTATGTCCATGTTAGCATTGTTTCGTTCTTCCTGTCTGTTTCATGCCCACGGTTTGCAGTAGCAAGGCACGGGGTGGAAGGGGTTGGGCTTACCAGGGATAATCATGAGGATACCGTTGGTCATGATGAGCACCTCCATCGAGGTGAGAGTCCGCATCGAGGGCAGGACCCCCCAGTTGGTGATGAGGTGGCCGACGAGCTTGAGGTTGAAGAGGGCGCAGAACCAAAAGATGGAGATGGCGAGGGTGATGAGGGAGCCCTGGACGGCCCATTGATCGCCGGGTCCGGGTGCCAGGAGGTCGACGTTAGCGCGGGCCTGAACGACGAGGAAGCCGATGCGAAAGGCGACAGCGACGAGGACAATGACGCCCGAGGCGAGGACGAGGAGGGCACGGATCGGTTCGGACCAGAGGCGAACCGTGGTCCAGGCCTGGTTCATGAGGGCTGCCTCGACGATGAGGACAAGCAGGCACGACATGACGTCGCCGGCGATGCTGTTGGCAATGAACTTGCGCGAGACGTTGGAGTAGTCGCCGGCAAAGGACTGGTAGAAGTGGTTGAGCGGCGACATGAAGAAGGCGACGAAGATGGAGTTGCGAACGATGCACGTCGCCAGGCCAAAGGCGTAGAGCATCGACGACACGCGCCGCAGCTTGACGAGCGGACGCGTCATGGTGAGGAGCACCAGCAGCGTGATGATGCAGCAGCCGATCTGGATCGAGTAGTTGATGGTGACGGCGACGGTCGTGTCGTCGAAGGAGTCTATCTCGGGGATGGGCACCGCAATGGGCGTCACGCCGTCAGGGCCCAAGAAGGTGACGTTTTGCGTGTACGGGTCGAAGGCCGCGCCGTCACCGCCCGGAGGCTGAGAGGTCGACATGTTGCCGGCGGTGGGAAGCGGGTGTGGTGCGGTGAGAAGAGAAAGGGGGCCGGCTTGCGTTGCTCCCTGGTCGGTACTCGTGGCCCCAAATGAAGCAGCGATGTGCGCGCCGGCGGCGGAACGGGTGCGCACCTCGTCCTGCGTTGTCGTATGTGATGACGAGAGGGTCGAGGCTGGGGGGGAGGTCACCGGGGGAGGGTGCTCGTCACGCCGTGCGGGCGAAGCGCCGTAGAAATGGCCGCGCGCTGGTCAGTGCGAACGACTTGCCGAGGGCAGATCACCCTTGCCCGTGGCCGCCGTGTCGCCAACGGATATCCGACGACGGGTGTAACGCGGCAGCGAGCGTTGGCGAAGATTGTCTCGAGGCGCGGAGCGGCAGAGATGGTGCCAGGTGTTGCGCTTCTTCTTCTTCCCGTCGGGAAGCCGCAGGTGGTGATGCTGGACGGTGGCAGTTGGTGATGCTCGAGCGAGGGCAGCAGAGTGGAAGAGAAGAGCGCAATGCGGAGACGAGAGCGGTGATGAGGCAATGTAGGAACTTGTGTGTGAAACGCTCAAGACAAACGCAAAAGGGGAGCTCGAGATTTGAGCTTGAGCTTGTTGAGCTTGGGGTGTGCGGCACCCGCTCGTCTAGTATTGTATCGGATGGATTGTTCTGGCCCTGCTGTCCGATTTCACTGCTGCCTGCATACCAAGGAAAAATGAGGCTGCGACGCTCGCTGCAAGGCTTGCTTGCGGCTGCTGCAGCTCACCGGGTCATGGTTTGGCCTCCAGGCCGTCGATGCATAAAACGCGGCAGAGCTGGTATTGTCCTACAGTAGTTTCCTCCGCCACCGGGAGCCGCAGCTGAAGACGAGCGTCTAGCCGGACGAGGTCGGCATCATCGACGGCGAGGACAATATCCCGGCGGTGACACGCAAGCACAACACAAAGGCCCGCCACGGTGGTGTCCTGAGACAAGGTTCGCTCGCGGCCGGCCGGCGGACGGCATCGGGGGGGGCGATGAAGACGGCAGATGGGGAGAGCGCGCCGCCCGCCTGGTTTACCCCAGGACAGGTCGGGCGCGGCCATTGCGATGCGCTGCTTGCTTGCTTGCTTGCTGCCCTTGCTTTTGCTTCTGCTTGCTCCGTCCATCCGTGTCGTGTCGCGCGGCTTACACGGAGCTGCGGGGCTCCCCGGCCGGGGCTTGACATTGTTCCTGTGGGGCCGTGGCGCCGGCCTTGATATTGTTCCCGAAACAATGTGGCCGCCAGCTGCACGCCGCACGCAGACGCCGCAGCGCCCCCGCGCCCTCTTGCTTCCCCAGACGCCAACCAGAGCCGGCAAAAGACTGCAGAAAGCCTGGCCAAGCCTGTCCAAGCCTGCCAGGGCCTGCCAGGGCCTGCCAAACCAGGCAGGTTGTGGTCGGCCGTGGGGGTGCCACCGACACCGAATCAGGTCTGGTGACGGCTCCTCCCACGGCATTTGTGACGCAGCTGGCTTCTCCTGTAGCTATTTTCGACCCTTGGAGGCTCCATCGGCCCATGGACGACGGGTGGTCTGCAAACGGGCGGCCCGTCGGTCGGTGCCGGCAGCCAACGCAACGCAACCGCCGCTCTGCCGGCCCCATCTCTGCGCTGCGCTGCTGCACGGGAGGAATCACCGCATCATGGCCTGACTCGGCAGAACATGCACGGGGCGGAACAGGAAGCGGCAGGCTCCCGTTCAGCCGGCTTTCCCGAATGTGATCGCCATGGCCCTCGACTCCTGCACGATTTCTTGACGTGAAATTGCCCTCGACGCTGCACAGGTGGCGCAGAGCAGAACCAGCCCGACGATGCCAGCAAACAATGAGACAATCAGCACGTCTTGCGGCCACCGGTCTGGAACGCGCCTCCTGCTTCTTCACTTTGGCTTTGGCCATATGACAAGCCGGCGTCCTGGCGTAAGCTTGTCCGCATCCCTTACGATGACATGCCCATGCCCTGCCCAATCTTCCGCACCAACGCCTTCTTTAGGTACCACTCCCGCGCGAGGGACCTTGTCATCTTGGCAAACACGACGGGAGAGATGCGCCCGCGCTCCACGGCACGCCCTAGCATGAATATGGCATCCCCGAGCGCGCGTTCCTCCGCCACCAAGTTGTAGAGCTGATTCGACACCACCGTCGGAGCCACCAACAGCTCGTCAATGTCCGGCGCCGGGTGGTTCTTGGATCCTTCAATGACGCCGTCCGCCTTGCGCAAAGCTTCATGGAGGATATTGGTATTGGACGCCAGCACGTTGGATAGCTGCGTCAGCTGGCTCATTTCCGACTGCAGGGCCGGCACCGCTGCCTGCATCGCGATCCGCTGAGCCTTGAGCCCCGCCAGGCTTGACTCGTTCTGCTGCCGGCTGCGCTGCCGGATCGAGGCCAGCGTCTGCGCCAGCTGCCTCAGCAGCGCGTCCTTTTCCGGGTTTGGCGGTATGGGAGGAGCCGTTACAGTGGACTGCGGGGGTATTTCGAGAGTCAATGGCTCGTCGAGGATGTTCGGCAGCGGGGGTGCGGGCGGGGGCGGCTGCGGAAGTGCCGTCCCATTCCATGCTGGGGCTCGCTGCCACTGCGCATGTGCTGGATATGCTGGGGGATTCTGCTGCGCATACGGCGGCGCTTGTGTTCGTTGGTCTGGTACTGATGGCGGATTTGGGTGAGGAGGCATTGTTGGTCTAGCAAAGTGCTGAGGTTGCGACTGATGCGATTGCTGCTCCAGAGGCGGCGGTGGTTGCGGGCGGCGGCCAGCAGGTCCCACGCTCTGGAATTGCGAAGGAAGAGGGGGCGCAGAGTCGTATCGCGATGGTGTTGGGGATTGCGTCGAGCCGGTAACTGGCGGGCCGCGGTATGGCGGAGACTGCGGTGAACGAGGCTCTTGGTGAGGCTTCGGGGGCGGTGGAGGCGGCTGGGATTCGCCGGGGCTCGGCCGAGGCTGCGTCTGAGGCGTCGGTGGTGCCATCTCCGGCGGCAGCGGAGGCACGGGGGGAGGCGTCGGCGTCGGTCGAGCGTCGGTCGTCGGGCGCTGCGCCTGCCTGGAGATGACTGGCGGTTCCTTGGCAAAAACGTCGGACAGGACCATGAGGAAATCCTCGATGGTCGATTTCTGTGACGGTGTCAGCTATAAGCCTCGCCCAGGCTTCTTTCAAGTCACGCACATCCCAAAACTCGGTCCATCGCACGAGGTATGGATGGTAGACCTGGCCCTGAGGGTCGACGTGCTGTCCGGGGCGCACCATCATGGTCTCGGTCGGGGTTACGTAGATAAGGGGAGGCTCGCGGGGGTACGCGTGGGGAACCCATATCGATATCGGGAAGCGATACGTGTTTGCGCGGAATATGACCGGTATCGTGCCCGAAATGTGCAGGAGCAATGCGCTGGCGCCGTTGGGGAATGCTGGAGGCTCTGTGTTAGCATCATCTGACCAGTCGCGTCGTCGGGAACCTTGAGAGCAGGCGGGCGAGGCGAGGAGACCAACTGTGTACATCGGTCCGTGGCGACAGGGTGCTGAAGCGGCTCAGGACGCGCGCGACATCGCTGTATGTGCGGTTCACATCGTGATATTCCTGATCGGGCAGACGCGGTCAGCTCGTGATGACGACGCCAGCAGCAGCGGGGACGATGCGGGGATCGTACACTGGTGAGCACGCTGTACAGCCAGTTGAGGACGTGTTGCTGGACGGGCATCGTCGCGGCGCGTCGGACCCGGCGTCTTGGCGCCCTGGGTCGTGCGCGACGGGGGGGGCGAGCACGAGGGGATGGAGGTGAAGGGTGAGGCAGTGAGGTCGAGGAAGGTCAAGTGAAGCTCTCTCCACACGTGGATGGATGGAGCTTGGTGGTCGGCCGGTGACAGCGGGCGAGGGAGCTTCCGTCGTGGTGGGGCCTGAGGGGCGGTGCCTGGGCAGTATGCGCCGACCTGAGTGGTGGACGGACTTCAGGCGCATTGTTCACTGACAGAAGGCTCGACAGCGCCTGGGCGGAGTGGACCGCCTGCTGATCTGGGCTACCCTATACCCGTCAATCCATTCAAGGCATGCAACGAGAACATCTCAACGCAGATGAATGGAGCTCACAGATCAGACTCGAGGCCGTGTGAGCTAACGGCTGCCCATTTGGCAGAGTTGGAAGGTTTCAATGGCAGTGGGCACTCGAGCGAGCATTGTCGCAAGATCGTCGGAAGCGCCAGTTCATGAGACGCGGCACATTGCGACTTTAACGCCGAGCTGTTTGCGACAGTTGGTCGACCGCGGTGGGCACAGCACAGTGGACAGCCGGAAGTGACATCGTCATCCTCGAAAAGTCTCGTTGGTACCGGGCTTGTTTCGCATGCGGAGCTGTTGGATGTGCTAGGCAACGGACCACGAGCCAACATGGCTCGCCCGGCACATCAGTGTTGTGCGAAACATGAAAGAGGACTCTTCATCAATGCCAGTGCCCTCGCCAACGGCTATGCCAAGATTCGCTTCGGTGCAGGCAACGTGCAATAGCCGCCGTTGGACGCGCTCACGATGCTCTCTGACGATTTCCCAAAGCGCTCGTTGATGGCACACACGACATACTCACCTCAAAGTGTCCACGGGTCAGCGGCGACCAGCAAGAGAACCGCCCGGGGGATGAGCCAACGCGGCGACATTCGTCGACAGCCTGCGTCGGCATCCCCCACCGGAGAGCGCGGACGACTCGGCGCAAAGGATCGACGCGAGCGCGATCCAAGAAGCAAGGAGGGAACAATACAGTACGCCAGATGGCGCTCGGTGGCTTCATCTGATGAGGGTCCCCGATGCCCGAGCTGGTGCCACCCGGTGGCCCGAGCTAGGAGCCAGGCTCGGAGGCGCCCGATGGTGAGGGAGTCGCCGTCTGGCAAAGCCCATCATGCGCCGTCTGAACTGATCTGAGGATCCATCTTTGCCCCAGGTATTGTGTTCGGCCGACGGCAAATTCGTACGAGTACTCCGCACTGGCAAGTGGGTTCGAGGCCCGGCAGAGTCGCTTCGGGTCGGCGAAGATTGCCATACTGCGGCCTGTGCGTCGGTGAGCGGATGCATGATTGCTGTCAATAACACGGATAAAAGCGAAGGCGCGACTGCTGCAACACTCGCGGTGCAGTTCCAAGAAAAGATTGGCAGAGATGCCACGGATTGTCCGATCGGACGCGGCTGTGGCCACGGATTACATTCTAGAATGGCCAGGCACGATGACGACTGGCTACGCCAATGAGGCACAGTGCATACCAAACGTCCCCACCGCGGTCAGCAGACTGACCTACTAGCTAAGCCCGGGAGGCTTGTACGAACCGATCATATGGCTGATGCCAGCGGGGTTGGTGCCTGCATTGGTTGCCCGTGTTGGCGTTATTCAGAGCTGATGATGGAAATGGACGTTGGGAGTGTTCCATCAAAGTTCCGCTTCTATTGTGTACCGAGGGACGCGTTCTAGCGCAGCGGCAACGGGAGATGGCCTCCAAAGGACGTAGGTTTGACACCCTTCGGAGCCACCGCGCTCCATCCGGGGCTTCCAGAAGGTGCGCCCACCATCGCAGAGGGTCTCGACCCACCTGCATTTATGCTTCAGCGGCCTAGACGGGCACCTGGGCACCCATCAGTTCGGCCACGGTCGACCTGCGCCTCTGTGGTTGGCGCAGGTTATGGTCCTGCATGACTACCTGTGCCATCTTACTTTACAGTGGGAGATAAAGGCCATCCAAGTATTCATGCAGGATGTACATACATATACAGGTCATAGTTGCAATGCCTCTTGAGTCATGGCTCCTCAGCACAGTACACGTCTCCTAGTATTTCATTACCCCTTGGATACTACATGACATCGATGAACACTGGAATCGACCGTTGTTATTAACGCACTATGAGAATCACAATTATTACTCTCGCACTGGTGTGCAGGCTCGCCACGACAGCAACTGCCAAGGAAACGCCGTCTACGAAGACAAGGAAGGAACTTTACATCCTGACTGCAAGGCAACTTGAAGCTGCAATGGAAGGAGCATATAAACGACATGGCCTCTTTTATACATGCAAGAGGGAGCCAGAGCAGCGTACGGTTCTCTGCACCAGATATCATGGCGAGAACAAAGGACCAATGTTTCAGGACACGCTGACCCGGGCTTGTGGGGGTATCGACGGCTGCACTACTTGCTGGGAGGTAAACAAGCCGGCCGCTGCTTTCCGCTGTCGTCAGACGAAACGGCATGGGGATTGGGCTACTTACATGCCCAAGGAGTGCTACGGGAAGAACGGTATTGCACCCATATGCCGAGAGATTTACGACCGATGCGTGCCCCCCCAACCCGCAGACATGGCTTGTCTGGAGAGAGGATATGGAGAGCTTATTGAGAAGTATTCAAACACAAAGATTGAGCCGCCAAAGAGAAACAAGCATCGGTCGGATTCCAAGTCCAAGTCATCGGCACCTTGAGCTTGCTCGGCCGCTCCGGGTCGCCGTGCAGAGCTCGCGCCAGCAAAAGCAGTTTGAGCTCCTTCTTCACCAGCGCGGCCAGCCCCAGGTGATACTGTATGCTCCAGCCCCCAAAAAGTCTTGAGAATCTTGCATGCTTTAACGGGTCGCATCATATGGTTTGGTATTTTTTTTTTG